TGTGTTCTTCAAATCCTGGCATAATGTGTTTTGGACTTTGCTGTGTAAAGGAGGAGGAGGATGATGCTGGTCTCTAACTGCCTTGTTTGCTGCTAATCAACTGGTTGTAAGGTGCTGTAACACCCTGGTAACTCATAATCAGATTTTTCTTGTATATTCACTAATACAAGGACCAATTCCTGAATGCCTTTTCAGGCCAAGCAATTTATATTAAAAGTTCCATTCTTAATGCTCTCTCTCTCTCTCTCTCTCTCTTTGTGTAAGTTGTAACAATTTGATTGCATTGAGCACTCTCATCAAAATCAGGGAGAATATTTGATTCATCAGTTTTGTCTGGTTTAGGATTCGTGAATGGATTTGATCAATACAATTTATAATTAAATTGAGCTATTAAGATCCATGTTTAGTCAGTCCAAGATCAAAATCCCAGTCATATGAACGAAATAAATCTTATAAGCAGCCTTATAATGATCTATACGGATTATCATTTGTGAAATAAGGAATTCTCATCTTCAAAAGCAACCTTATAATGATCTATTAATCATGTAATTATTGAAGATAAATCCTGAAACAGAGGATGATAATTAATGAGATAAAAACAACAATCCTAGTTGTCGGGTAAATATATTATCCATCAACCGGTATTCACGACCAGTTCACTTCAGGCTTTTCAAATAAATTATTGATCAGTCTTCTTGACGGCATTAATGGCAATTGCCAAAATTAAGTGCATGTAAAAAGGCCACAAAGTTCTGTTTGCTGAAGGGGGAAAGCACTTTTGTGGATTTGCTTTTTAGTCTTGTTTTTTTGCCTCTAGGCATTGCTACTAAACTCGTCTCTAACAAGGATGACATGGGTGGAAGCTTAAATTCATTTGTTGACCTGCATTCCTTAGATTTCTATCGTCTCCACATTCCTTTTATAACCATGATTTATTGTTCTATAAATGGGCCATATATCTCTCATAGAATTTCCGAATTATGGCTTCACATATTCTTTATTTGTTCCAAATTATGGCTTATATTACTTACCTGATTTTATGAGGATTTTTTTTGGACAATTTAGGATTGCTTGGTGTACAATTTGTTCTTATTACAAGTTTTAAGCCGAGCGTTTTTAGACAATTTAGGATTGCTTGGCTTGGCAGCATAGTAATCGTGTTCCACAAGTAAAAGATCTTGTAGAGAAGGCGGAGGGTTCTTTTTAAGGCTGTATAAAAGCCCCCTTCTCGTTCCACCTCCATTCACAACAACCATTTACAACAACATCAAAACTCTAAGCACAGACTCTCTGTGGTTCGGACGACAATGGACCTCAAAGAATCAGTACGCAACCAAACTGACGTGGGCCTAAGAATGACGAGGCACCTGTTTCTAGCTGAAGCCAAGGGGCAGAACATGGTGTTCTCGCCGCTCTCCATCCATGTTGTGTTGAGCATGATAGCGGCTAGCACAAAGGGTCCAACCCAAGACGAGTTACTCTCTGCCCTAAAGTCCATGTCCACCGGAGAACTCAACTCCCTCGCCTCTAATCTCCTCCCTTTCCGGCCCCCCCAGCGGCGGTCCCTGCCTGTCCTTCGGGAATGGCGTTTGGGTCGACGAGTCTCTCCCTCTCAAACCCTCTTTCAAAGAGGTGGTGGATACTTTTTACAAAGCGGCTCAAAAGCATGTCGATTTCCAGAACAAGGCTGAAGAAGCAAGAGCTGAAGTCAACTCATGGGCTGAAAAGCAGACTAAGGGCGTTATTAGAGAAGTACTTCCTCCTCAGGCAGTTGACAGCTCAACAAGGGTATCTTTGCAAATGCATTATACTTCAAAGGAACTTGGGATGATGACCCATTTCTGTACTCAAAAACAAAGGACTATGTCTTCCACCTTCTCAATGGGAGATCAATAATAGAGGCACCCTTCATGACTATCTACAAGAGGCAGTTTATAAGTGCCTTTGACGGCTTCAAAGTCTTAAAACTTCCATACAAACAAGCATACGGTGAGAATAGGCGTTTTTGCATGTGCTTGTTTCTTCCAGATGAAAAAGATGGTCTGCCAGCTCTGGTTGAGAGAGTTTGTTCTGAGCCAGGCTTCTTAGATCGCCATATTCCATATTTCAAAGATGAAGTGGGTATCGTCAAAATCCCAAAGTTTAAGATTACTTCTTGGTTTGAAGTTTGGGGCATTCTCGAGCAGTTAGGTTTGAAGCTTCCTTTCCACTTGACAGAGATGGTGGAAGCGCCTCCGGGTCAGGACCTTTTTGTTTCCAAAATGCTCCATAAAGCCGTCATCGAAGTTAATGAAGAAGGAACGGAAGCTACCGCTGTTACAGTGACCAGTGCGAGCATTTCGTTCGCACCATGTCAGCCTAGGAAGACGGTAGACTTTGTGGCAGATCACCCATTCCTGTTTTTGATCAGAGAGGAAATGACTGGAGCGGTGTTGTTCATTGGGCAGCTGCTCAATCCTCTTCAAGGCTGATTATACTAGACAAGTATTAATAAATATGTCCTCTTTTTTGTTTATGTTTCATTGGATTAAAATTTTGATCAGTCAATTCAGTTAAGATTTTTATTTAATTATCTCTGTCTTCGATTTGAGGTGGTTTCAAGGGAGTCTTAAATTTGGAATGGGATTTGGTGTATACTTTGGGTCAAGTTCACATGCAATTTCATCTCTCACTTTTACGAGTTTAAAACTTTCAAGACTTAATTTTCTATACTTTTTAGATGTTGTTGATGAGCCCCATAGCCATATATAGGAAGCTTCATCAACAACAAAAAGCCAAAGTGCTGGGCTAACTAGCTTTTTCTTCCTCTATAATATTCAATGTATTATTAACAGCTTAGCTTGCAAAAATTAAATAAGAGTACGATTACTTCATTTATAATTCAATTTCCAAATTTCTTTTTGGGTAAATGCTTTAGTCTCTAAATTAAAATTATTTTTTTCTCTAGCGCATTAATTTAAATAATTCAAAAATTAAGGAAACAAATTGATTGACCTTATCAAACAAAAAAGGAAACGGATTTGGAGAAAACCTTGAAAAATCTCCAAAGCCATACGGGGTAAACTTGTAATTTTACAAAATAAATCGTAAAAATAATAAACGAACCCATGTGAGAGAGAGAGAGAGAGAGAGAGAGAGAGAGAGAGAGAGAGAGAGAGAGAGAGAGATGAGATGGGT